GGGGGGCTGTCAACGATAGATCCCAGCCTAGTTTGTTTTTCTTAATCTTTGCTTAGATAAGTAGATACTGTGTCATCGTTGGGGACGTTTATTATTAGAGCTTTCTGGATCCTTAGTGACAATTGTGTCATTCATCGCTTATCGGATGATTACAAAAAAGTTCGAACCTGTCACCGTACATAATTGCTTTGTAAAATCTGTGTTACTTAAGTCAGGTCAGGTCAGCTCATTATCATGTTGAAATCCCATTCGAATATCTCTTGATGTGGAGAACAGTTGTGTAAAACGATGTACATAGTGAATGTTGACCTAATCTCAGAGAGAACGTGTCCCTTAGTGTTCCGGAGAAAGGACCGCACGAATACCAAATGCTCAAAATATAATTTATGCCCTTGCCATACCATGAAAAACCTTGATCCAATCGTACAGAAAATGAATGTAATCTATTGCTAAATCAATGTATCTCTCGTTATAAGTATACAATTTTCCTTCAAAAGTATTAGAATTTCTTGTGGGGGGTCTACATCTACGGGTACTAAAATGTCATTAGTATGAGACTGGTGCAGAATAGTGAGGTCGAGGTTTCTTGACACTTCGTAACAGTTGATCAACGTGCCTTTCAAAGCGTTGAATGAAAACATTCAAATGCTAAAAACTTGAACACGTATTAATAATAATTTAAAAAAAGGTAATTAAATACCCTAGCAATTCCGGGTTACTTATGTTATTTTCACTTTCCGGTATACGTACGTACGATTTCCGGTATACGAAGTAATATACGTAGTGTAGGGAAAGATATGTAGGGAAAGTTTCGAGATTTCAACAGAAACACATGTTTTGAGGTTCTCTGATACCGAAAAAGTGGTTTGTCCGCCTGTCCAATGTCCGCCCGTCTGTGAACACCTAGCGTCTAAACCATAGTAGGATTTTTACCAAATTGAAGAAACCATTGTCCATATCGCTCGAGTCGAATCTATGAGATTTTGAAAAAAGGTCTTTAAAATTTACATGAAGTCTCCTGAACATTGTCAAAATTTTTTTAACAATGGCTTCAATTTTTTTAATTTCTTGTAAGAATAGACTAAAATGAGCTTACAAAAGTGGCATAAGTCCGATTTTTACGGTTAACACTAGATTTTCAAAAATTTCAAAATTTCAAAACTTTTTTGGGAGTATTTCTATAACTACAAAATTGAATATCTAGGTGTTTATTTCAAATAAAATTTGTTTTCAGTAGTAAACTCGTTCATTAAGAACATGTAATTTTTTTAAGCTATTGCGCGAAAACTACTATTGCGGGCAATTTAAAAAAAACAAGATTTTCTCAAAAACGTTTCCAAATTGTTTCTTTAAACTACTGATAGGGATAGTGCTAGATGCACTCTATAAGATGATACAAACGCCATATTGCTGTGTTCTATTGTTGTTGTTTTTTTCAAGAATGACAAAATTATAATTTTTTTGACTTGTCACTCACATCCTTAATATTTTATACTAGCGACAACTTTCTCACATTAATATATTTATGAGTACATGTGCTTTAAATAATGTCATATAAAGTTTCTCGAAATCTCAACGCTTTTTTTTAGTGGAAACTAACACAACCTTTCTCATTTTCAGAAACGCTCAAACGCTATTTTCTCAAAAATTGCTTTTTTCTTCAACCTTTCGAACGGATAGTGCTAGTTGCACTCTTGAATATGATGTAGAGTTCATTTGGGGAATTTTTTAGTTTTTTTCAAATATTATACAAATGTCAAATATTACACAATTTTAATATTCACATTTTCAGAAATTTGTAAACACTATTGTATTTGTGAGTGAGTGTGCATCAATTGACTTCAAATAAAGTTTTTCGAATACTTAAAAATTTTCTGTTAAAAATAGTTTCAAATTTCGAATTCCGTAGCGCTTGAACACAGCGTATTCAAATTTCGTTGTGCTTAAACACCAAGTTGTTTTTTAACGACTCAAAATGTTTCAAAGAAAGTTGCCATTTAGGATGATGTTTTACTGTTATTTAATATTCTTAAAGTAATATTTTCGTTCTCCTATTAGAAAATTGAAAAAATAAGAAAATGTCAAAAAAATGTACTTTGGGCGGCAATAGATGGGAGCAGGAAGGAGTATGTTGCAAGTCCGAATAGCTAGCTGAGACCTAAGGAAATAGAAAACTAATAGGGAAAGTCTGTGCCATTTGTAGCACTACTAGTTATAAATGTATTGGCAACACTGGGTAATCGACTAGTTGAAAAAAAAGTGCACAAAGGCAGCATTTCTAGCAGTTTAATATTAAAACCACTTGAATTACTGTGTAAATAATAGTAAATGACATATCTGAATAACTAACATATGTGTGTATGTCAAAATCCTTATCTTCAAAAGGGGTCTTCTACAACTTTTGAAGGTCAAATGTACGTGTCAACATCTCAAACTGTTTTCTGGGAATGGTATCTCTGAACCACTCAGTAAACTGACGACAGATAACATTGCACGCGACTCAGCTAAAAGAAGAGAGTTTGACACACTTTGCATTGTCATTTGTAAACAGTACAACGTACTGTACTTTGGGCGGCGGTAGATGGCAGCTGGAAAGAGTACGAGGCAAAGTCGAATAGGTAGCCGAGACCAAAGGTAATAGAAAACTAATACGGGAAAGTCTGTGCCATTCTGTAGCACTACTAGTTGTGTCAAAAAATGTGCCGGTTTCCCCCGTAGCATTAAAATGTTTTATATTGCATAAGTAGTTCCTGAGAAAGTAAAATATTTCGACTGACGAACTGACTGAATGAAGGTTCAGTCAGTTTAAAGCCACCGGGGCATTTTCTTTACTAATAGTACAGGAAATTTTCGTCAATCTTTTAAAAGAATCTCCAATGGTTTTTAGTAAATATCAAATTCCAGCACTAAGAAATAAAAAGGCGTCAGAACTCTTTGACATAAAATCAAAATTAGAAATTTATAATGGAAATGTTGCGATAGAAAAGCATCCGATGAAGAAAGTAAATAGTATGAAAATAAAAGTGAAAAGAAAATTAAGTATTAAGAAAATTGGAAAAAAGAAAATTTCGCTATTCACTTCGGAGAGGGAAATGTTAAATTTGATTTCCAAGGATAAAAGTTTTACTTTTAATAAAATGTCATTTAAGATTTTTTTATCATCATATTGTTCATTATAAAAGTTAAACAAGTTGTGAAAATAACTCCATGTTTGTGTATCAAAGTTGCATTGGATGTTGTTCTTCCGAGTTCGTCTCTAGATTTAGAGGTGCAACTGATTGTTTGATCACTTTTTTCTATGATTAAAGAAGGAATCATGTATATGATTCATAAAATATTTCACAAAAATCGTATCAAAAGCATGTACTACGCCATTACGCCCACCCTATATGTTTCACGTTTTTAATAATTATGTTTGTGATTTAGTTCGATGAATTTGTACGTAATTGTAATATAGTTAAACTGCATTGAATCCTGTGAATAGAGAATATTGACCTAGAGTTTACAGAATATTCATTAGAAAATAAAATGTCAGTCAAATTTAAGACAATATATTTAAAGCTAATTTTATAGGCGGTTTCCACAATTGATTAAAGTCAATAAATAATACGAATTGATGTACACTTTAAAAACTAATATTTGCGAATTATGAACCACATTAGATCCTGGACGTTTTTCTTTGAGGGGTTATGAATGAATGTGAATCATTAGAAAAGTAGCCAAACACGACCAAAGCGTCCTCAATTTATTTCCTGCTTTACATTCGATAAGAATTATTAACGCATTACTTCCTCGAGACCAAACGATAAAATATATATAATTTAATTACTGCAATTAAAACATAGAAAAATTATAGTACAATACTATCTACTTTATCGTATTTAAAACACAGATATTTTAAATATCGACGTATTCATCGACATTGGAAACGTGGTGATGTATCGAAATATCGATGTTTAGGGACAATTTGCCGCCACTAGCCCTGGCAATAAAAATGAATAAATCCTCTTCCTATCTCTAGACAAATAAATTCCTCTAGCTCAGTGTGTAGACAAAATCCACATTTGATGGGCCGTTGATACTGAAATAGAAAACGCCTTTACGTCTACCTGTCTGTCTGTGAACAATGCAACACCCTTAAGCAGAGTTTTCACAAAAACTGGTATTATTCTATCAATGAGACGGCTGTCGCGGCCCCTTGAATTGATACGAATATATCGATTTTGGAATTGCATTACATAAAGCCTCAACATTTTTCAAATTTTCTCAAAAGTGGCTTCAATATTTTTTTTAAATCTTATACAACAAAAGACGCATAAGGAAATGGCGCAGGTTGCATTTTCGTTTCACTCTTTCAAAAAGTACAAAAGTTCAACATTTTTTCGTACAACTACAATTAGGAAGGTAATTTACTTTTTCTTAGTTAAAAATCTGCTCATCAAAAACACGTAATTTTTCCCAATAATGATAGATATGTCTGTTGTAGTACCTACAGTTTATACGTGAAGGAATATAATTGATTTATGTGCGCTTCATGAGGCACTGAGCACGCCAGATATATTTGTTGACATTTGCTTGTGTCTCTGTTTCACTATTCTGCCAATAATTCCAATCTGCGGCATAATCGCCTGTGCCCTAGCCATCAACTGGCAGAGTTCGAACTGTTTCTGGAATTTGCGTTGGACAGAGTTAAAGAGTCAGATTTCTTCCGGTTTCTAGTGCCATCACGTCTTATTTTACATTTACTCAGTAATAATAATTAATAATAATAATTAATAATAATAATTAATAATAATTATGATGATGATGATGATGAGAAAAGATTGCGATGGTTTTGAATGTTATGCCATGGGATCAGACTGTCGGAACAAAGAAGGTAGAGACACGACATAAAAGGAAGGTTTTGAAAATTGATATTAGTTTAACTTGAGGATGATTGTAAATCTGAGATTGTTTTTGTATACTTTCAAAACTTTTCCACACTCTCAGGCTTTCAAATAGTCGGAAATGGAAAACGCGCTGTTAGGAGGTATTGCAGAGGCACTCGGATGGAATCATCATCTTAGGAATCTCACTGCAAATTGAAGTAAATTTTATATTAAAAAGAAGTCTAACATTTTTGAGTCGAAAATTTGAATAATAATGTCAAAAAGTAATTACACTCTGTACGTGGCGGTTGATGGAGGTAGCCGCAATAAACCTACCTACAAAATATAAATATTTGAGTAAGTTTTATGATTGACAAACGTAAATTTGGTATATTGAAATTAAGGACATTCATTTACACGTTATACATCTCTTCCAGGCTCCACAGCCGACGGAATCTTGGACCGGCGTACGAGATGCCACCAAAGTTGGCAATATGTGTCTGCACTATGATAGCCTTGAGAAAAAAATTCAGGGAGACGAGGACTGCCTGTTCCTGAACATCTACACCCCCCAATTACCCTCTGGAAGTAACAAGACATCTCTGCCCGTGATGGTGTATATCCATGGGGGCGGATTTGTCATTGGTCGTGGTGATCTTTACGAACCGGATCCATTCATGGACAAAGGGGTCGTTGTTGTCAATTTGAATTATCGGTTGGGCCCCCTAGGTACGTACCTATTAATATATGATAATAAATTACACAAATGATATAGTTAGTGGTTACCAATATAACGTAGTCTCATATCTCAATTATCTCCACCTTAATTGTACAATATTTTGGAAATTCCCTACAAAAGAATATAGATAGAAAGGTGTTTTAGTAGACAGTGAAGAAAAAAACATTTATTGGGGCTGAAAACAAGAAAACTTACAAAAATGGTTCAAATGCATTTCGTTTGTTATCATATGAGCTTTTACTTGTTTGAGAACCTTTGTTGCGTCCCGATGAACAGTTTTTCATTAATTATGAGAATCGCTTCCTCAATATGTACAGTTCTTTTAGACGACTCGGCTTCTTCACGTTAACTCCCAATGATCCTCAATGGTAAAAATGTAGTGGGTATTAGGTGAACGTGAGAACCACAATCCTCGAAAAATTACTGTACTATCAAAAAACTCTACCAGTAAATTGGGTCTATGCAATATGTGATGTCGACCTCCATCTGCTGAAACTTACAGTTCCTTTCATCATTTTCTAGAAGAAATACAAAATCTCATAATTTGTTCTGGTACGCTTCAACATTACTGTTTCTTCAAAAAAAGTTGATCAAGTCGGCGACGCGAAATGACACATCAACATCAATCTTTTCTTAATATACAACGAGTTCTATCTGCTGCTTTCTGTGGTCTCTCGGAACCCTTTAGCACAGGCACGTCAAACCGCGCCCGCACGAGCTACTTGCCCGCTTGGGGAGCCCGGCGCTCCGCTCCTACGGGCACGAGCAACTTCCCCTCACTCCGCACTCATTTCCCCTTGAAATCCAGAAAAAGTAGTACATGCGCAAGCTGGAGCGGGTGGTGAATAGAGGTTTCATACGAAAATATGTTAGTCACATTTTTTCTAGCAAATAATCGAAAATTGTATTATGTTTATATTCTTCACTGTTTATCACTATTTGATGTTTATTTTTAACTAAACTGTCCCTTATATAAACATCTTTGCTAAGTGACAGGAATGTGTTTGAATGGCAATTTCTTCCCTTGTTTTCGTTTTGTGTTGTGTATACAGCTACATTTGATTCTTCCCCGTATTTCCTTAACACTTTACACTTTCCCCCTATTTTTTTTTGAGGATATTAAAACTTCACAAACTCAGTATAATTTGTGTTCACTTCTACTTCTGCAATTGCTCTATTAATCGTTTTGTATTCGAATCCAGCATTGCAGGCGAATCCAACATTAAGAGGCGACTGTTCGCATGTTTATGTTATAAGTTAAGTTTAATAAGAATAAGTTATAATAATATAAGTTTAATAAATATAAGAATAATAAATAGATAAAGTTTAATAAGTTGTGGGTCACATTCATTTGAAAATCGGTACTTGCACACTAATGTAAGAATGTAAAAGTGATATATTGAACGTAAGAACGTTCGTTCCTTCTCTATCATTACTCACAGTTTTGTTTTATCCATATTCACTTAAAATTTTTCAAGTTAAATAAGTTATGAGGCAATACTCTTTAAAAGGTTTTGCAAATCTATTTTAAAAAATACGAAAATTCGAATTTAAATAGAAATCAAACTGCTACGCGATTTACTTGGTAGTTCAATTGTCGACTTAAAGATGTCAACATCAGTGTTTCCAACGCTGTGGAAGAAAATTATGGCGTATTGTGCGAAAAATACTTTTGAATACTGGTGTTTAATCAACGCTACCTACATAGATTGATTAATTGTGCAATGGGTTGGTGCAATGCGTTGGTGCAATTCTTGACATTAATACTAAGATTGCAGAGCCAAAACGCAAAAAAACACGATTTTCGAATATTTTTTGAATCGTCTGGTCGGATCCGAACACAAATTATCAGTTACATATCAAGGAAAAGAGGCGCGCTGCATGACAGCTCATACGTCTCGATTGGTGCATGGGAAGTGGTCTAACCGTGAGTGACGGAACCGCACATACGCACACTCGGGATTTTTACTCAAATACTTTGTAGGGATTAGCAAACAGATCAGTGATTTTCAGATCGTGATATGTCCGACGTTAGAACTCTACGATTATCAGTTTTTATTTTTTATTTTTTACTTCCCTACGAAAGATTACTCTGCTTTATAAATTTTCTATAAATCGTTTCCGCCGAAGAAGAAAGAACTCGAAATTTACCTAGGATGTGTTCCATGAGTACTATATTTCTTCGATTGCGTCCCGGTCAAACAGACCATCTGTCTCGCAATTTTTCCACTGAAACCTATCTGGCACATTTCGAAAGATGAGAGTTCGCAAATATTCTTCCACTAAAAAAATAACATTTTTCTATTCTGAAGGGTTTCTTACCCTCAGTTCAAAACAGAAACTTCAAGAAGCTTTCAAGGAACTTCAAGGTAAGAATCAAGGAACGGCTGGTTTGTTTTGACTACGAATAGCAAAACAAGAGTATTTGTGGCGAGACAGAGCCCATTAGGCTGCTCTTCGGCCTAAATACAATGCGGCCTAGACATAAAGGAAACGAAAGGCTGTGAAGGGGCTGTCACAGAAATGCAGCAGAAGGACCGGTCGCACAAGCAGTGTTGCAATGCTTTTATTTTTGTCAGTGCCTGGCCCACCAGGGTTGCATTTGAAACTTATCCCATACACCCTTTCCTACCGATTTTTGTATTTTTTCAGTGCATTTGTTTGAGCGAGTTCTTTGTGAGTGGGAATTTCGTGTTTTCGGGCGCGTCTACTACTTTGGAGATGAATCCCGTGACTATATTGGTGCATTAGAGCCGGGAGGTGATGTTCTTTCCTTCCACACTGGAACGTGACTGGCGCCGACCTTCACATTACTAGGGAGCGGATTTTGAAGATCTACAACACCTCCAAAAATGATCAATAAAAGGCTCTTAAAATGTTTTTAAAATGCCCCAAAAGCAAAGAAAAATGACGTGAAAAAATTGATCAAAACCAGTTTAGATGAACAACTCAAACTGTTGGCTATGTTACTGCTGTAATCGAGGTTTCTTCCTTCATTCTAGTGAACTCTGCTAGAAAACTTTTGGTTTGTATTGTACTTTACCAGGAAATCTTGTCTTTAGTTATCCCGAACTCGACCTAACCACCATGGCGCTGATAGGCCTACCAGAAACCTTAGTTTACATACTCACATGCCTGATATTATAATTTGTGAGCGAAGAAATCGAATAGTCTTCTGAGTAATTCTGTGAAGAACATCAGATCCATTTCGTAAATATTATTTGTAGCACATGCCATTAAAATAATATTGCATCGATTAAATCGATGAAATCAACGAAAAGTGCTTTAAATATGACGAAAAGGGTAAACAATTATTAGCCTGCTCTGTGCCATTCTTTTTGTATGCTCTCCCATTGTTGCCCATAGTATTTCCGTTCTTCTATTAACAGCTGTCATTTACATTTCTTATATTTTCTCATTTCTTAGAATTATATTTCGGATCCCTTTATTCTAAACAGAAAAGTTATGACATTACTTTAATTGTTATAAAAGTTTTTTATTTAATTAATTTATTAACTTAATATTAATAAAAGATATTTTGTGATCGTGCCCAAGTTTCACACACTTAGAGCAACCTATGAACCGCCCTGGTATTGTGAAATTGTATTGTTTCTGGTCTTGCCTTATTTTTTTAATTGTTATGGTGAATAGTATCCTTTACCACTTACTATTTTCATTAATTTTCTTAAAATAAAATAATTAATTACCTGTTAGGAAATAGTATTTCAAAATAAATTCTCATTTTCAGGTTTCTTGAGTCTCGGGACCCTGGACGTGCCTGGCAACGCAGGACTCAAAGACCAGACAATGGCTCTTCGCTGGGTCCAGGAGAACATCGCGGTCTTTGGCGGCGACCCCAACAATGTCACCATCTTTGGAGAGAGTGCTGGAGGCGCCTCAGTCCACTTTCAGTTGCTTTCCCCCCTGGCGAAAGGTGAACTAACAAAATTACGTTTCGTCTTAAATCGCGAGAGATCATTCCTTATTTTCGAAAACTCTCAAAACATTTACTGGCTTAATGCGGTTCTGTGATAGAAGGTAGTTTACTTAGAGCTGCATTTTCATGTCTATTGATATATTCACCACTTTGTTAAAATTCGTACTCTTCCCTCTGTCAAGATCGAAATCGTATCAGAGTACTCAGTGATATTATTTGATGAGAGGAGTGACTATTCACGTAAGAGCACGAGACATGAAAAAAGTATTGCGATTTCTTAATCTGAAGTAAGTCAAAGTCTTCAGTAAAGTAATGAAAGAATGGCCTACAGAAATCTTTAATTCCCCAAAACGCATTATATTAATGAATAAATGTCTCCGTTCCAGTTTCAAGGATAATTAATTATTATATGTTTTTATTGCCTACCACGTTTTTTATATGTTCACCACCTATAAGTTCACGGTTCACGTTCTAAAACCTTAACCTAAACAAGTTCTAGACTATGCAAGTAACTGTGTCTCGGTGTTTCAAGTTTTTGTAATTCAACTAGTTGCTTTTTACTAGGTAATTTGAGACTTTTACATTTTCCATTCATGTCTTGTTAGTGGAGTTTGAAAGAAAGAAAATTAGCAGCAAATATATCACATACCTCAAAAGGATGCCCAAATGCTTTTGAAATATTAATATTAGTCTCTAGTATCAAAAAGGTTCCTGTTTGAGAAAGTTGAGGCTCGTTTCAGATCAACCAAAAAATTCCATTGTCATTGCCCACTATTGTTTGAAAAACGTTGTTTTTAAATTCCCCCATTGGGAAAATTCACTCGAGAACATTAATCAGCTCTATTTTAGGAAAATTTTACTAGAGCCTCCTCAGGTTTATCTCAACTGCTAATGATGATTTTCCTCTATCACCTACATCTGATACCGTAGATTTACTTCCATTTGAATTTTTTAAAAGATTCTTAATTGTTACAAAATTTCTAAATTGTTAAAGAAAACAATTCTAATTTTCTAAAGTGTTAAAGAACGATTCAAAATTTTTAAAGTTAGCATTTCCTCTTTGAACAATATTTACAATCACTACTTATAAAAGCTGTATTTAAATATTTTCGAATTCTTCTTAAAATAATTGATATTTATATTCTCTCGTTTTAAGTGCACAAATTCCTACTTATTGTTTCCATTCTTATGAATTTATTAAATAGTTACTTAAGTTTTGACAAAACATGTTTTAAAATAACTGTTGCCTTCTTTGCTCTAAAATTTTACTCCCTTGGAATTATTAAAATTTGAAAATATTAAAATCAATAAACCCACAAAACAACTAACTTCAAATTAAAAAAGATAAATGAGAAACTATGAATAAATTGTGCTGACAACACCATACAAATTTAATTAGCTACCACACTAATTTCAACATTTTTCCATAATAAACATTTTTGAATTGTAACAAATTTTCAATTACAATCTTCATTAAGTCCTACAAGCACCATTGTACAACGAATTAGTTTTGTTTTTCTTCCTGGGCGAAAACACCATTTGATGTGCGATATTTATTTAATCACTTCAGTCGCATCGTTGGTCATAAGAAAGTTGGAAATTAAATTTCAAACGTCAATAAACATTTGTTTACTATGAATTACTGCACTAACGAGAAATGATGCAACTTTTCTTACTGCTGCTCCCTTGAGCCTCCTGATGAAAATGTCTGAGACTCTTCTGAAAAACGTATATTTGAACATTACCTTTTTTTGTTGCTACCCTCCAAGTAGTGTTGCTGGCCAATTGGCCGTTCAAGGCGAGAATGAATCACTACGATTGTCAACGAGCAAGAATATCCTGACTCGTTGGATATTTCTTAGTCGTGAATATTTGATTCATATGACTCTGATCCTTCGTTCGGAGAAATTCAAAGGCAAACTGGCCCGGTCATGGAGCTCTCCAGAAGAAAAGGACATAAAGGCGGAAGCCCCGCTTCCATCATACGCTTAGAAGTGAATACGGAAATTTGTGACACTATTGCTCAAGTGAACGCTTCCTGTTTAGGAACGATTCCCGAGTTTAGCGAACACGCGCATGCGCAGTGAGACTCCTCAAACCCTAAAAGCAACACTGCGCCTTCCCTCGATCGCTAAAACTCCTGGGTTGTTCGTCGAACGAAAGAGAGTAAATTGAAGCTACGATTTCTTCTCTACTCCTGCACGTGGGCGCAGAAAATGGATGTGACTCAGGAGTCAGGTTCAAAACCAGTGATAAGTTGTTACGTACTTCCGCTTGCATGCACTACTCTGCCACACACGCCGGAAGACAGATCGGAGCTAGGTCTATCCACGGCCATCATCAGTGCTAAAGATGCCATAAGGCTTGTCCCAGCTGGGGCGGTGCCCCGCTGGTGGGCTTACTGGTTAGGGAAAACCCCGCTATCCGCCGGTAGGTCGGAGCCGGATCTCATCATCCAGCGGGGGGAAGATCACCGCCAACTCCATGCACTACACTTACGAGACCAACGACTGAAGCCGTTGACGTAACCGGAATAATCAATCACGTAAATGCGGCAACTTGTTCCAGGTCTCTTCCATCGTGTGATCGCCCAAAGCGGCAGCGCCTTCTGCCCTTGGGCCGTCATCCACGACCCGATCGCCCGCGCCAAAAGCCTGGCGCTGGCGGCGGGCTGCGAGCCGAAGACCGCGGAGGACCCCGTCGCCCTGGCGAAATGGCTGCGCGAGGCACCCGCTTTGTCCCTCGTCACCCACATAGGCGCCTGCTTCACGGAGGAGGAGATCGCCAAGTCCATGATCCTGCCCTTCGTGCCCTGCGTGGAGCCAGACCATCCCGGAGCCTTCCTGCCCAAGACTCCTGCAGCTCTGATGGCAAGCGGCAACGTCCCCAAAGTGCCGGTTATATTTGGAATCACCAGCCACGAGGGCATTATGTTTCTTCCAGGTACAAATTCACATTAGATATGTTTCTGTATGTTAGAGTTCGTATTCTGCATGTAAAGCTATCGGAATTGTTGTATGCTATCGAGAGTATAGACGTTGTTGAATCTTTAACTCCGGTTAATTGGTTGGGTTTTACAAGGCCATTGCTTAGTTGCGAACTCGAGATGTGAACCACTCCCATTAGATTGTCTGTGGTACCCTGTGATCAACGAGAGGTCGATGGTGGAGCAGTGGGGATGGCATGCTATCCTTTCTTTCCTGAGACAAATGTTTCTGAAAGTTCATCACATTAATATTGTAATTAACGTGGTCTGGCAGGACCCTTCTTAAAAATAATATAAGTATTTTATTTAAATAAAATATGAGTTTCTGTGATTTCAAAATTACGATATTTTTATAATATCGAATGATTATTTACGTAATATAACCCCTGACTGCAGTTGCTGTTCCAGAACCCAACAGGCGAGAGGGAAATACTTAACGGTGGATGGCCTCTTGAAGAAAGTTGCCGGAACGTCAGCCGTGTAGTAAGCAGTGGCGCTCTGAGGGTGAAAACAGCCTATGCCCAAAGCATGGAATAATCATAACATATTTTCATTTTCCAGGCAAAGTTGAAGCTTTTTTTTCTTCATTTTTTTTACTGCGTTCCTGGGAATCTAACAAAGTCATTGAAACCTGTCACATGGTCGGAGGCTGCATAGAATTCTCGCAAATTCTGCGCTCATTGGTATGGTGTACTGTCGATTTAATGTACCTAATGTATAATTTCAGGCTCCTTGCTGAAGATGGATTACTTCAAAATACCCCCAGGAGGAAAGCAGATGACACAGGAGGAGTTGGAGGTCGCCGAAACAAAGGCAATGGCGCAGTTATCCTCGCGCCCAGAGCTTCTCCTCCCGGAGAATTTGCCAGGTCGGAGTGATCCCAAGAAAGAAGCGCAACTGGTGCAGCGTCTGAAGGACTTCTTCTTTGATGGCAAGCAGCCCTCCGAGGAGAAGTTGTTGGGTCTGATAGACGTGAGTGCGAGAAATTTGCCACATACTGCGAAAGTATTAAAACATACTGTACTAAATGGAACTGACGGTGCTAAACAGTACATATTTTCTCGCATTATTTTTAACGGTAGCTAAAAATATCGTGAAAACTACTCATACCTTCAAAGAATACGACTTTATTAAAATATGTAATGTTTAATAACAGATTTTATTAAAATAAATGTTTCTTCAATATTTAGTTGTAGAAAATACCGAAAACGTTTTAAACTTTCACAATTTTCAAAAATTGGCAAAAGTTCCACGAAAATCGAATCTGAGTTATTTTTGCAGGCATAATTTGCTCTATCTGAGAAAAAAATTGAAAAAAATTTGAGAAAATTTGGAGAAATTTTTCAAAACATTGCTGCAACGGTGCTATGCGTTGCTAAGTCCGCCACCCACTCCCCAAATCAAAATATCAGTTTCATATATTTTTAGGGATACAAGCTCGACCAAATCGATGGGAAAATGTCAATTTAAAAAAATCATGTCAATGGTTTAAGCGCTATTTTTATCCACGAAGGACGCACGTTATGCCACTAACCAATTATTTTGTATATCATGGAGCCACAAAACTGGTGCATTCTGGTTACACACCATATTAGTAATTTAATGCATGTAAGATCAAGAATTTTCCAGTGTTTGAAGGTTCTATAGTTTAAGTTTTGCTTACGAAAAATGACATCTTTCCCTTCTACATTACACGGCTTTCTCTTCTACTACCTAAGTGCGTGGTGGACGATAAGTAAAAATTAGGAGCTCCTACACACGTGGTCACAAAGCAGCCTTTCTGAGGGGCGCTACTGCTAGCAAAATATTGGTTTAAATGGAGGTATTCACACGAGCGGCGCAGTAGCGCTGCTGTGAACTGTTAGTGGCCCATTCCTGCCACCACCAGCACCAGCCCTCGCTTCCATGACACCGCAAGAAGAACAGTTCTAAATGATAGACATTTGGTCATTTGGAAGCACATTAATATGCTGTGTACCGCTGTGCTGCGCACCAGTGGCAGTAGCTCACGAATCCTTCCCGTCCCACGTTCAACGGCGCTTTCGACAGCTGCGTGTGACGGGTGACGTTGAGTGGATCCGTAGGAAGGCGGCCATAATGTATACATCATATCCCTTAATATGTAATTAAGGGATCTATGAATTCGTCTAATAGATAAAGTAGTCATATTGATGGTAATGCAATAAAAATTAGTGTAATTGTAGGTAAAATAATTCAGGTAATTTCGATGGTTTCTGCTTCAAGAAGGTATAGATTAGTTTAGTGATTAAAAAATAGTACGTGACAAAAAGAATAGTTCGTGAGACACCGGTACAAATGCGAGGCACAGCGGTACACTTCATATTAATATATAAGATCGCTTGTGCTTCCGAGTGGCATAGCGGCCAAAATTGATATTTTATATATAATGAAATAATTATGAGCACATTGGGAGATTGAATTGGGTGAAAAATAAGAAACCTAGTTCAACGAGGAGCTTAGTTTGGACTTAAGTTTCCTTATCCAATCGGAGGACATTATCCTCCATGGGATTAAAATTTAAAAGTATCTTGGAAAATACTCGAGATGCATTTGTTAGCTTAACTTATCTGCAGTGTTATGCGACAAGAATAACTCAGTTTATCGGAGTGTAATTGTACGTTAAAATGATTCGGCATACGTTTAAATGTTAATTTATAAAATTCGATGTTCATGCAAAAGAAGTTGTCACATTGTAAAACATACATCAAAAGTATTGAAATATATAAAAAATGAGAGATAATGAAACACAGTCCGTAGACAACTTTTGCTTTCTCTAAAACGTAAAATAGAGAAAACATTGCTGCAAAAAGTTATGACGAGATTTTGACGAAAATGCTCATTTTAAATTTGACTGACGATCTTTGGCATTATCAGCACTACAAATGTGGTAATAAGTGATGTACGTTAAGATAATTCACACTTTTTTACGTCAATACATGTCCAAATATATTTTTTCATGCTGAATATTTTTCTAAGTTTACTGTCACGGTAAATTATTGAATTCACGAAAACTTGCGACATAACTTGTCCTTTTTTAATCTACTGCATGCGCCTTGTTAACGCCTACAAAAAATGTATATCAAACGACAATTCTACGCAAGTAGCATTTAAATGACTTTCTTTGATGTCTCCCCAAAATCTTACGGACCAGAAACATGCAGGGTTTAAACCTGATTCGCTTTAAAAAGCTTCTCTCGCCTGCAGGTGTATTCTGACACACAGTTCGTGCTGGGTGTGTTGAGAGCAGCACGTGATCATGCACGCAACGGGTCACCCGTCCATGTGTACGAGTTTGCCTACAAAGGACGTGTCAACTTCCTCAGCCTGGTTTTTCCTTGCAAAGTTCAGGGCGTATGTCACGCAGATGAACTCAGTTACTTGTTCAACATACCGGACGTGCCTCGACCTGAACAAGGCAGTAAGGACGAGGTCACCAGACAGCGCCTTGTTCGCTTGTGGGCCAACTATGCGAAAAATGGGTGCGTATATTGTACCGAGCTTTTGTCTTTTATATCTACTATCCTCTCTTTTCTTAGTATTATTTATTTTTACTCTCGCTAAATAAATATAAAAAAGGAATTATGAACACTACCTACGTTTGAGTATCAGTAAGTTATGTTTGGTAGTTGTCCGCGTAGCCATCTTATACGAGATGCAGAAACAAATTATGCAAATTTTGGGGATCACTTCTACCGTTAACTAATGTAAGGAATCATTTATATTCTTTCACAGACAAAAATGGTCCTTCAGCGACAAAAGTTTATTATAATTCGTAACAAGATAAAAAAATCAACACTAATTAAATATTTGTCTGTACATATGAATTCGGTAACTAAACATTTTATAATTACTTAGCAGTCTTGACCTCTTACTTTTTTATTTCGTTCCGAAACGCATTTTTCGCTTTCCTTTTTTGGCAACTTCTGCGCCCTTGCCCGGTGTGACGTTTCCACCCGAGGGTCGCTCGACTTAGTCCGTCTGGCACATACAACCTTTTTTTATTACCTCCGCAACATTACATCACAATTCCGCCACCATAACGTCTCGAATTCGTTACTACTCTCCAATCTCTTGTTACCACGATTCCTAACCTCCATCTTAAGTCAGAAACGTATTTTTTTCAGTTGTTTTACCACTTAGCGAAATCAATATTATATTTATTTTTACAATTTTCGAAGCCAAAGTATATCTAAATAAGCATTTTATTGTTTAATAATTTTATTTCATTGTTTTCCATTTACTTTTTAATTTAATTACTTTTGTGACGATCACATGGGGTTGTCCAATATTGAAGGTTACTCTCAAAAACTTCAGTTGCCGTCATACAGTAATGTTACACGCACAGTACTGAATTATGGGATTTGAACCCGTGATCCTTCAGGCACGAGGAAGCTACGGTTCTTCAGATTTAGCGACCCCAGGCCGGCCATGAACATGTTTATATTATTATCAGAAACTTTCATAAATGGCCGAACATGTCTAGTCGAGAGTGAATGCCCCATGTAACAACTACATTTTTAATAAAACTACATTTGTCTCACTTGGCGAAATGGATACTGCTTATCTGATATTTCACACTTTAAAACTTAACACAATCTATGAAAATTGATCTTTCAATAAAATATATTTCATTAAAACATAGTGACACATATTTGTATATTTATTTGAAATGCCAACTCTATTACTGAATACATGATATGTTACAGGAACCCAAATTCATCACGTGATGACTTAATCAAAGTCGATTGGCCGCAGTTCTCAGAATCAGCGACCAATTACCTGAAAATTGGAGAAGACCTCGAAGCGAATACTGGTCTCTTTAAGGAACGTATGATGTTTTGGAAAGGCATGTACAGCAAATGATTTAACAAGATTAGAAATGCAATGTTGTAATTCCTAGGTTTTTTCGAAACAAGATTGTACTTCTATTTTAAAATGGCATTACTCAATAAAAATGCAATATAAAATAAATCTTAATACTTATTTTATTCAACATTTAAAAATGACAACATTTTTAATTGAATCTGACACCACTGAATTGGCAAGAATTCTTCTACCTTTCTGTCAAGATTCCTTGTATCAAAGCAAAAATGAATATTTGCGTTCTTAACTTGAATCAACAGCTGCAATTTTCAATCAGAACGAAACATGGTTTATTTCGCTGTGGGTATAAAATATTAATAAATAAGGTGTGTATTTCATGTTTTTTTATTCAAATTGAATTATATTCCAATATGGATGAATTTTCTTCCCGCTCGTCCCATTTGAACGAGAATAATGTCACTGTCTTCATGAGATTTTGAAAACCGTAATCCAATTTCTGTTACCCACTACCAATTAATATAGTTTCGTCAAACCATGAGGAAATCAAAATTATTTTCAGATAGTCCATAAAATTTCCTACTAAGCATTGCGATTGAGCAGTAGAACATTAAAATACGAATTCTAAGTTTAAAATGAGTTTCGTCAGGGACGGGGATGGGGAAGGGCAGATATCGAAGAGGAGGAAGGATGTGTGATGGGGTGGTAAATAAAATTGTGTGAGGAAGTAAATACAATTGTTTCTATTTTATACTATATGGTGTTTGAGAAAAAAGTCCAAAAATGCAGTCTTTCATGCATAGAAGAAAAATCAATAGCCCATAAACAACGCAGTAGGAACCTCCGATGAGAGTCACGTTTTAAGACGCAAAAATAATTATTTAGATCTCAGCACACTCTGCCTTTCTCGTTACATTTCATTATTCAATTCAATATCTATATAATTATTTCATCCCTTCTTTAAATAATAAACGAAGGAAAGATAAGTGCTTTTTGCAATTAATAAAAAAATGTCGACTCAGTACCACTGCTGGATAGGACATTACCCCTAAAATTTGAGACGAAAAAAGCAGTTTAGCAGTTTATGACATAGCGGGAAATTAGACGCAAATGCAACTCATAGCAAATATTAGCGTTAATATTGGAATGTAATGGTGATTTCCAGCACCTCTGTGTCCTTATTTTCCTTAATTGTGACAATCTTCAGGATCTCTTTCAGCATTGTTCGATTTTAGAATGCCAAATATATACTTTGACTCACTAGTGATGAGTAAACTTAAAAAGGAATGCCTATAAAACTTAAAAAAATGTATTTATATTAGGTCAAGGAAAATATGAGCCGAGTGTGTTTGATAATGCCAATCGAATCGGAGATTTACAAAGAAGCTATACTGAATGTCCAGATCATCACATCAACGTTGCCAAGGACATCAAAGACGTTGGTACCGAAATATGAATCATATCTGAAATTTAGTAAGGTATCGTGCACGTGCATTGGGGTGATGATGAGATCTGACGCACGAGATAGGTTAAACGTAAACTATTGATTTATTTCAAGCCATTGTAGATTTTCACTATATATTACAGTTTTATTTCAGCGTGTTTTAAAATCCAACATTTTTAATAAAGGTATGGAACACACAATTTTTTCCACGATCTCACTTCCTCAGATAAAGATTTCGTTATAGAGGCATTTCTGATGTATTTCGAAGCGCCATATCCGTGTAAATTCCCATTTGAAATAGAACATCATACATTAATATATTTATTTTTAATAGGAATCTACTCGTTAGATTCTGTTCAATCACTATCTCAAATTGAGACATAAATTATTATTAACTCAGTGTCTTGAGCCAATACCGACACATCAGATTTCTGTTAATTAGTAATTTGAAAGAAGTGGGAATGCGCGGCATACCAAAAGTTTTTCTCCTCTTAATGTTACTTCTCAACAATTACATAGATGTTTATAAAAGGGCAAGCAATTATTTAAAGTTCTATAATTGAATGAATTTATGCACAAAACAGCCACAAGAATCAATTTGGTTGAATAAGTTTGGATTTTTAAGATATCACCCAACTTTCCTAGTCAAAGGATGCATGCCAGTATAAAACGTAGAAAAATGTTCTCTTTACGTAAAATAGAAAAATCCAAATCAGTTGTTTCATGTCATTCAATATTAATACTTTCAGAATGTGTAAATCTCCTTAGACCTCGAGTCTCAAATCACCATTTACTGTGAACCCAAAATTCAACATCTTTCTGAATTTGTTTTATTTATATTTAACAAGATGAATATACGTGGGCTGTGTGGAAATACGACAAAGAAATCCTGCAGTCCACCTACCTTAACTTGTGGTGCTACACCAGCACGTACGTTCTCGCGATATTGCCAATGGCTATGTAATATTATAATGTGACAATTTATGTCTTACACTTCAGCAATCATTTGAAAAATTTTTAAATAAAGTGTGTAAAATACACATTTTTTAAATATCATTAGAAAAGCAAAAACAGCTCTCTGCCATTGACATCAGAGTATTTACGTTCTACATAAATGTGTCAACGATGTACGATGCGTACTTTAGCCTGAAATAAAATTATTAGTTTATATTAACGCGAAAGATAAGGCGGCAGTCATTATCGCCTGTTATCAGTGCGGCATTACAACAATGGTTTACAAGCAACAATGATCTATATTTCGTGAGGGACACAAATTTTGCCAATTCGAATTGCTGACACTCCTAGCAAGAAAATGAAAATGAATGGAAATTGTAATATTTTTATATTCACCAAAATTACTCGTTTTCTACATGAATTACACTTCATTCACAGATCTTACGTAGCAAAGCTAAATCAGCTCATTTCAGCGTTTTCACATTTAACTCTATTAAAAGACTCCATTTAAAATAGGTTTTAAATAATTTCTAAAAGATTTATTTGAAATCTTATAACAAAAGCTCGAAGAAGAAACGAACAAAGAAATATGAATTAATTGACAAATTGTACCTTCATAAGAACGAGAAAGTAAAACTGTAATGCATGACATAATTATAACAATTGATTTTTTGTGGAAGGACACCTGAGCCAGACAACTTTACACTAACATTTTTCTCGAAGAGAAGGTGCCGAATGTTTTCAATAGCTCAATTAGAACTCGCGCAAGTAAATACTGAACAAATAACGGCTCATACGCGTTCATTCCATTCATTTAAAGTTTTTATTCAAATTTAGTTTTTATACTATGAAGCCAGTTAATAACTGCATAAAATATCGGGACCCGATTACCTTTCGTTTACTGCAAAAAGTCACGAAATTTGTTTGAGTGGAAGGCCCAAATTTCTTTTTACGTGAAAACTCAAGTGTTTTAAAAATAAAACTGTGGACAATTTTATAATTTCAGAGGTTTTAATTAAAATAGGAACTATACTATACTAATAAAAGAATTTTCTTTTGTAAGGGAAAAAATTCCAGAAAAATGTTTCGGCCATTTTCCAGAAAATGTTGAAAATGTCGTATGTAAAGAAGGTAAATGAAGAAGGAAAAGGTGAAGGAGGAGAAGTAGTATTTGAAGAAATCGGAAGAAAAAGTAAAAATAAGTAATGTAAGTTATTCATAAGAATGTCATTAGTTTCATCAGTTTGGCATGTTCCCCTAATTACAAATATTGTACGTTTACGATTTTTGTATTGTTCTAAGGTAGTTCTGTTTTCCGTGGACCTTCGTCTTAAAATGCAAGGTCACTTCTCCAAAGATAAAGAAAACCCAAATGAGATAAACACGAGAGCTCTCGGGCAGAGCAAACAAGGCCCAGTGGACTTGGTCAGTGTCATTAGAATTCCTTCGAGCGAAGCAGCATGTCGGGCTACATGACGGTGTCCGTGCGGCAGGGGGCCCTACGTGGACGCCGCCTGAAGACGCCCGCAGGAAATGTTTTCTTCAGCTTCCAGGGCTTGCCCTACGCCAAGCCCCCGCTCGGCGAGTTACGCTACAAGGTGCGTGTCATTCCCGGGACACCCGAATAACTACTCTGCAGCAAAAATGTTTTCACATTAATGCGTGTTACTAAACGAAGTTTTTGAGCTGAGTTCAACAGCGCAATCCGTTGTTTTCTTCTATCACGTCAAGTTTTCGAGAAAATCAAGAATACGTTTTCCATAAAAGTTCCGTTTATATACTACTGTATGGCTGGGGTAGTATCTTATCTTAATGTGTACACCATTTTATGTACTTAATGATTTACAGTTTCTACATGCCCTTGCCCAAGATAGTGAATGTTTTAGATACATTTGTAGTGTTTATCACAGAAAGTTTTTAATCTTGACACAGTTACTTTTACTGAACCTCGGTTCCAGAACTTAATGTGCGAACCAAAGTTTGAAAATATAATGAGCCCAAGGCATGAGAAAAACAAAGCCTGGCATATCTACAAAGATGTAAAAATCTTCCTAGAAAATAGGAGGAGTCCAGGTTACAAAATCATTGCACACATCATGTTGGAAAATTTGATAAAACTAAGCTGTAACAAGAGTTAAAATATATACTACCTTTTGGGTAAATAAACCTTTCCTCATGGGTAAATAAGAAAATTTTGTTTTCATTTTATAGGATAACTGGACGTAATAGAGGAAAATTGTTAACGTATTTGGAATCAGCTCTTCAAAATTAGGGGTCGGGGGAAATCATTCAAACGAAAACATCAAATACTCTCTTTCAGAATGTGGAATTTCTTTTCTTCATTCCATTATATTATTAGCAGATTATTAGCTCTTCAATCCACGACCACATTATTAATACTAGGAATGTGTCATGATTTTTTGGTAATTCAATAAAAAGTTTCTTAGTTCGCCAACGTTTCGGAACTTTATTGTTCCCTCATCAGGGATTGTCGAGGTTGAATCATTAAGAGTAAAATACTAATAATCCGACACATAGCGTCAGGGCCACTTGCACAAAAACACCTCCACTCTCTGATTACATGTTAGGAATGCTCCATTTTTTTTTATTTAGACATTAAATGACCATTAAGGTCAGTTGGTCTTTTAATACAGGGTAGTTATAATCTACAAGTGTTGCCTTGTAGTTGGGTTTACAATCCTTTTTCTTGTACATGTGTTTCTGTTTTCATTTTACAATTGCAATTTCATCAATACAATTTTAAAATCAAATGTTATAGTAATAATTTTAATACTGGATGTTAAATTTGCAGATATGAGTCCTAATGATTTTTTCTAGTTTAGCATATCCACAATTTTTGTTTTTATTTTATGCAAGACATCCACATAATCCATCTTGAACTCGTATTGTCCAATGGGGTCCTGATGTCTTTTTAAATTTGTCCTGCCATCTTTTATTTCATCTTCCTTGTCATTTCCAACCTCATTTTGGGTAGCATAACGATATTGCATGTTTGCTTAATGATATGCCCGCTCCATGTTCTTTTAGTTTCTTGTTATACTATGACTTGTATCTTTGTTTTCTTTCTTATGAATACGCTTAGTATATGATATTTTAGTGTAATGTTCATATTACCTACTTTAATGTATTGATGACAGACTTGGTCCTTAAAATCTGCACAAAAAATGAAATTAACAAAATGTCAAAGAAAAAGTGAAAGAAAAATGCTAAGATTAGTCGTCCCCAAATATCTCAAAAATAGGGCTAAACATTAGTAATGTTTTTTTTATTCATTAGCATTTTGTCCGATTTGTCATTTTGAAAAAGAATTGTCCATAGTTAGTCGGTGTTCTCTTCAACCTTTGAGCTCACATATTGAATGACAGAAATAGGAAAAGATCAACGTAATGAAGTGAAATGGGTTGATGGGAAGAGATTCGAGTTTATTTATCATTTTCGAAATCTAATTTCTGAGACTACATTCCATCATCCAAAAAACTGAAGCGACTATTGCAATGTCCTGTGAAATTATTTATCAAAAGATATAATTACACATATTTAAGCCACACCGTGACATATACCCTACATTGCACTATAGAGGCGATAATTAGAACAATAATTCACTAAAGTTTTGCCTTGACACATTAAACAGTTGAGACATAGACCTTAATTCCTATTAGATGTTAAAAAAAAACAAATTGCAACTTTTTCTTCCATTATTTCATATTTCACATCAGAGATTTTACACATACGCACATACACAAATGTTTTCGATGTTTTGTTCGTAAATAAATAATTATCATAATCCCAATCTTGTAGAAGTTGTGAAATAAAAGTGCGAAATAAAAACCGATGGTAACACTGTCTTTGTGTTTGTACCAAGGAAACTGCGTGTACTATTCGTACCGCCAGAGAGCAGACCATCTCTCGGCTGAGGTGATTTCGATTCCCTGATACATCCTACGCCTTTATTCTTATTTTGCGCATGTCAACTCTCCGGCGGTCAACTCTTAGCCGTGGTAGTACAGCCTCCCCTCTTTCTTCCCGTACCCTTCTCCGAAGAAGTAAAGATTAACCTTTTGAAGTGACTATGGACGCTCAGATTTAGCTTTATCCATTATTCGTATATTTTTAACTTGGTTTCCAGTTGAATCTTAACTATAAATTAATAAACACGGCCACTGTCAGTTCAATTTTGTTGCGCACGAATTTCATATTATAGAAACCAGCTTTAAAACATCAATGTTTTTTGGTTGATTTATTATTAACATCAAGGTTTCAATAATGAACAATGATGTTCGATAATACCGATGCTTCATTAACAATGTCGCATCGGTAATTCCTGACGCTGTTTAGGCTCCGGAACCCGCGGATTCGTGGACAGGCATTCGGGACGCCACGAAGCTGGGAAACCAGTGCGTGCACTTCGACCCCTTAACCCAGCAGCTGGTGGGCGACGAGGACTGCCTCTTCCTGAACGTGTACACGCCGCACCTGCCTCTGGGCCGAGGCGTTCACAGGCCGCTGGCAGTGCTCTTCTGGATTCACGGAGGCGGCTTCAGCTCTGGCTCCAGCAATATGTATGGCCCAGAGCCACTCATGGACCAGGACGTGGTGCTCGTCACCATTAATTACCGCTTGGGACCACTCGGTACGCAATTTCTACAGAATGGACATCCACAGAATGCCCACAGTCGTGTTCATAATAATTACAAAATAATTGATTATAACTGGTCAATGCTCAATGTTGAAGAATGGTTCATAATATCTCTTGAATAATCGAGGTACAACAAATATAAAAACTAGTCGTACTACAACACCCCACATCCCATAGAAATTTGGATAACGAATACGTAGCATTATTACATTTCACGTTCTCTCCTACTAACACATCAGCCATCACTCGAAAAACGCAAACGTTATGTGTCAAAATTGCGCGAAAACTATTAATATTTTTAAAACGTTTCACATATTTATAAATAAAATTAAAAGTAGTTTATAACATGAAGCAGCTGCAGCAAAGGAGAACTGCATTATCACGCGTTGTCGCAACGAAAATATATATCATTCACAAGAATTCGCTTGGTGTACGTTCTGTAACACACCTTCCCTAATTGCTCTGCCTGGAGTAAATACAAATAAAATGATCGAAAAATACAGATGTAATTAAATAGAATACTGTAATTCATTCCTCAAAACTGCTTGATTTAACACGTAATTCATATTATGGTTCTTAAAGCTCTAGGCAATTTCAAAAAATTACAGAAAATTGATTTTTGACAAACTGAATTGTGCTCTATTCTTACAGAAATTTAAAAAAAAAACTCTTGCCAGGATTGAACCCAAGTACTGCGGGCGATAATCTCTCGCACAGTAATTCAGAGAGTGAAACATTTAACTAATGAAAGAAAAAGAAGTGCACTTAACATGAATTATTTAGACATTTGATCATTTCTTGCTGATAGACAGCTGATATTTGCCGAAATTTGAATTTTTTCATATCACTGAACCCATTACATGAGTGAAATAGTCACTACTCTTATTAGAAATCCCACAATGGTCACCAATTCTTGTTCGTCAACATCAAGAGATGTTTTAAAAATATATTTTTATTAATGATTTCATCGACGGCAAGATCATTACTGAACTTATAACGCAACCTGACATTAAAACTTTTAAACCTTTAATTATACTTTTGAACAGATTTTCTTAAATTAATTTGAAGCCACTTGCTCGAAATTCTTTTACATGACAAAACGATCTTTTTTTTAAATTTAAGCATCACGTAAATATTTACTAGGTCATCAAAACACTCAAATGATGCAATAATTTAAAATTTTTACTAATGTGAAAATCATAAAATTGTTCACGATGCTCGTATTAGAAGAACTAATCAAAACAGTGATCAACGAAGCCATGAAACGCAGGTTTCCTGTCGTTGGACAGCCCGGAGGTTCCGGGCAATGCCGGCATGAAGGACATGGTGATGGCGCTCCGCTGGGTGAAGGACAACATCGCCTCCTTCGGCGGAGACCCCGAGAACGTCACCATCTTCGGAGAGAGCGCGGGCGGCGCCGCTGTGCATTACCTGGTCCTGTCTCCTTTGGCAAATGGTAAGCGTGTATCCCCCTGCGACTAGCCCGACATGGAGATTACATAATGAAATACATACATAATGAAATCTGTTCTTCAAAATTAGACCTTTGAATAAGGTCACGTACAAAGTTTCGAAAATATGAGTAGTTTCCCGAGTTTTGCAAATTCTTGAAATTTCGAACTGCGAGAGATGGCTCAAGATATCAACTGATGTCCCTGCATTGCATTTAGCTGGGAGGCCCTAGGTTCAACTCCCGACAGGGCAGGATTTTCGACACTAGCTAAAGAGCTAGGTCAATCCAGTCCCTGTCTGGAGAAGAACTCTAGTGGACTAGGTTGCTCGGATTGGTAGTTTTCTGTGGTTTCTTTGGTCAATATCTGGGAGATATCTGGTTGGGGAAAACCCCACTAGCCGGTAGGGAGTTCGGACATCGGATATCACCATCCATTGAGGGAAGATCACAGCTTCCTCATGAAAAAAACATGCACAACATTTACTGGTTTAATTACCTTAGCAGTTGACGTGCCCGGAATCAATCAATCTATATTTCAAATTCGAATTTACCTTCCTTCTTTTGCAAAAGAGTCACGAAATTTCAGATATCAATACAGCCACAGTGCCGCGGCACAGTGTTGCGGCAAATTCTTCGAATTTTCTCATTATTAAGAGATTTCTCTGGTGGTATGGAACGCTGTTTTGTATTGACAAATTTGTGTCGATGTATTAGCTTTAAAAGAATTAATTTCATTTATCAGGCACTTCGATTAGTAATAAGTGTAACTAATAGTAGTATCATGAATTATGTGATGGCCAAAATGCCTTAATATGAACAGGTAAGAAGGAATAATAATATTACGGAATCTTAACTAATGGGGAAAAACGTGCTACTGTAGCCCTACTAGTTTCGTAATGCACATACTATATTTTATTAAAGTAAGGAATTTTGATATTGCAATCTTCGCAACTCCCAACCGATAAGATAGACCTCTTACACTGGTTGATTTGCTTCGGCTTGTATCACAAGATCACTTGTTCCGAAGCTGAAGAAGGGCTGTTTCGGAGGGACAACGAACCAGCTTTTCGCAATCTTCTGAAGGTGTTAACAAATACGACTTTATGCTGCGAATAGGAATTCGTTTGTGATATTGATGTACCGCTCTTTCCGTACTGCCGTTTGAAAAACCGTAAACATAAATTACGTCTGCACATTCCTTGTTGGTGTAGTAGACTGATAAGGAAAACAGACGACTGTCACTTAAGCACATAAGACGACTCTGTTTCAGAGTTTTTCCAAATAAACGCCAGTTTATTAATAACAATTTTCTAATCGTGATCTCTGGCGAGTAACAACCGCTTCACTTCTCACTCAAAAAAAATTTACCATGCGAATAACGCTAATAGAGGAAGATTTTACATGTTAACAGAAATTTTTATTCAAAACAACTTGAAAAGTAAAGTTTTAAACTTTCGTCGTTTCATTACCAAACACCCGGTATGTCCTTTTATTATCTGATACATAGTGCGCTGAAACTAGAGCTCATGACGCTATGACAAGAGCAACTTCCACAGGTGGGGACCCACTTCGATCCTCAGCCAACCCATACGGAATTTCTGGAGGGCAAATTCGGCACGTTTTCTCGAAATTCTCTCGTGTATCCTACACTATATAGCACCATTTCTGCATTAATCTAAAGATAAGTATCAATATCATTCTTCACTTTACATCATCTACGAGTATCAATCTCAGAACCTGAAGGATCCTTACTAATTTACTAAAAAACAAATAAATTAATGTACTAGACTAGTATACTCGTACGAGTGGGCGGCAACGCCCTATGCAATAGGGCCGTTTCCAAAGTTCATGTGGCATCGAGTTCGATAAATGATTCCTCACGCTAAGAGGTGATTCAGTCTGATTGATTTGATTGAAACAATTACTAAAGAATTTTCCGTCGAACGATGACTCAGGGCGCCATCGAACTGTACAAGACTGTACTGTACTGTACTGTACTGTACTGTACTGTACTGTAATGTACAAGTGCCACAGAAATTACAAAGTGTTATAACTGATCAATGACGTCACGCCCTTCAGCAATTGGAATTCTCAATAGGTCCTGTACAAAAACCAACAACAACAACAGAAACAATTTTATTCCTCATGGAGAATTCATAAGCACATAACCAAGAACCAACAAAACTCACATGAGTAAACATTGTAATTAAAAACACCCAAATATCAGTCTAAAATACCTGCTCTTTTCACTTCAATAACATTATCCTCACAGTTGCACTTGCTTATGTTTCACAACGAAACGTCAACCTCTCGATTCATTGGCACCAACACAACCAAACCTATGATCAAACGACGTAAAGTAAAAAGATCGGCAGGTACGCGTTAATTCTATTACTTTCAATTTACGGTTTGTACTATAAAACCGCTTAATAACAGCAAATCAGAGCACGTGTAAAACTCACTATTTCAAGAAAAAAATCATGAAAATCGATTACAAAGCTTCATTTTCTAAAGAAAACTCCAATGCTGTTGATGTCATACCGTACATAATTAAAGTGATTAACTTTAGCACTTGTCCCTCCCAACTTGAGCTAGCATTTGTCCCTCCCGTTCATCATGCTTCGCCCTCGTCGTCCTATCCTCCCTTCCATTCGGCCCGTCTCCTACTTCAGCTCCGCTTGCTCCTCCCTCACCTTTCGCGCTTTCCGTCCTTATGAACGTCCCACTCCTTCTGTTCCCTCCACTTCTTTCGCTCCACCCGCTGCTTCGGCTCAGCCTGCTCCTTCCGCTTCCTTAGCCCCTCCCGGTTGCACCCGTTCTGTCCGGCCCATCCGGACCCGTTCAGTCTCACTACGCGTCAACAAGCACGGCTACAATGCCGCCAAGATGCATTCTGGATTGCATATATTACATAAAAGCAAGGATACGTGTGATTATATGTGCCACAAAAACAGCCATATTTGCATAGAGGCATACAGGCATGTGGGATAATTGCTCCTAATTATTGTTCTGGTCGTGGGATCTATCCAGAGACTTCTTTCCTCCCAGTTCCATTATGACATATCCAAATGATCTGACTCATTCGTTCAGATCTGTTCCGTCGGGCGATCGCGCAGAGCGGCAGCGCGCTGTGCCCGTGGGCCTTCTCGAAGGACCCCGTGGGCCGCGCCAAGCGCCTGGCCGTGGCGGCCGGTTGCGCCTCCTCGACGGTGGAGGAGCCCGAAGCGCTGCTCCGATGGTTCCGCGAGGCGTCGCCGGTGGCGCTGGTGAAAGCGTCGCTGGACGGGACCGCGACGGCCGAAGAGCGGAGGCGCGGGGACCTGACGCTGTTCGTGCCGTGCGTGGAGGCGACGCGCGAGGGGGCCTTCCTGCTGGAGGAGCCGGCGGCGCTGCTGGCCAGCGGCGACGTGCCCAAGGTGCCCATAGTCTTCGGGCTCACGTCGCACGAGGGAATTCTCACGTTAGGTATGGCGGGGAGCAGCTCCGTTGCTTCTTGAAAGCCCACGCTATGTATGGCGACTGGTAGGTACTTGGTCTCATCTTAAATATTCACGCTAGGACTGGCAACTATTAGAAACTCCGTTTCCTCTACAATGCCTACACTGAGTATGACAGCCCCAAAGCGTTCAGTCACATCTGGAACGCCGCGCGGATTGTAGGAGTTCCGGCAACGTAAATGCTTACGCTAGGTATGATGGGTGGTAGGTTGTGCCTTGAATGCTCACGCTATGTATGTTAACTATTTGGACCAATTTGAAAGCTCACACTAGGTATGGTAGCAGGAAGAAATACGTTTATACATCGATGAACGTTCGATGCGTATGACCGCTGGTAAGAAGTAGACACTTTTTGAATATTCACATTGCTATGTAGACTGACAGGAACTCTAGTTCATCTTGGCGGATGCTTATGCTCAAGGCTGGTAGGAACTCTGACCTATGTTCTGCGCACGCTATGTATGTAGGTCGGCAAGGACACTGTCACTCCTTGATGAATGCTCACGCCAGGTATGACTGCTGGTAAAATCTATTTCACACCTTAATGCGCACAAAATGACCTAGTCCGTATGTCGACAGGAAAAACTACTACTTCTTCAATGCTTACGCTGGATATACTTGATGGTATGAAGTCTGATTCATACTGATGTAGATTCACATGCTTAGAATGCCATGAATGTTTTTTGTTTTTTTTTCAATTTGTCCTATTTCATATTCAATGAAACGATGTGATAGGGTTATGAGTCAATTTACCAACACGAGGGCCATGTGTTAAAGCAAGTATACTTTACTAGCCAAAACAATGGCATAGAAAGAAATCCATTTAACTGTTTCAGGATCACAGGCGTAGAATTCTACGAAATGTCAATATCATATTGGTTTCTGGTTCAGAATCGAACAAGTACTGATATTGAAAGCTGTTTAAATAAAACATTATTTTCATCATTATTTTATTAAATACAAATAGTATCGATGCGATTTACTCGAAACTAAATCACTCCCAAAAATTCAGCGAAGTTTTCACACGTCTATGTCAACGACGGGGAGTAGAAACCCATTGGCGGTCCGCAATTCTTATGTGTGTATCATCTTGGCTCTACTGCAGGGAATGTGAGTAGTTACATCGCGACGTCCTCTGCCTCATGTGAAACACTACAATAAGGCACCGCATTATCTCCCTATGCTTGTCATTTCAGTGCATAACACTACCAAGCATTTGTGATACGGAGAACTGAAATTTCCCAATATGATCACTATTACACTTTACTCATATTTGCCGTGAACATAGCACCTAGCATACTAAATTTTGCGCGTGTTTCTAATCAGCCATCAGTAAACGGCATCACGTAGTTTTAAAATTTTGTCCAGCATATACTGAGCTAACTATATTTCTGTTATTGTGGAAAATAGTTGCCATGGATTCGTATATTCCTGAAAATACGTTCTCAACGGAAAGCTCCTTCCCAGAATCCCTTGTTCCCACTGTCCTACGGGTCCAAGCTATCTCCTTATTCTGTGTGTTCTGTCTCCCTAGGCATCATTGAGGGCAAGCTGGGAGGGCCGAAGAGCCCGAATCCCTCCGGGATGAGCCCCCTGGAGGAGATCGCCTCCGACATGGAGCGCCTGCTGCCGGCGGACCTGTTGAAAGGCAAGCGCGACCTGCAGCGCTCCAGGCAGCTGGTGGAGCGCCTCAAGGACTTCTACCTGGGCGGCAGGCAGCTCGCAGACGACACCCTCGACGGATTCGTCGACGTGAGTAGCACGCGACACGCGACCGCTGTTTTAGGATTACAAAAATTGCAATACCTAGGTGCCCTTCTCGGCAGAATGCTTACTTGGATATTACACAACAATCCAAACGAATGGGAAAACCTAATGGTATCCCGGTGTGGGAGTAAGCTGACAGAGTTGAGAAAGTGTTGTTTTCTGCCAGTTTACATGGGTTACTCTAGTCATTATACAAGACTTGTAATTTGTAGGCGTAAAGCTGTACTGTTTTAACGAAAAAGTATATTGCGGGATTAGCATTGTACGGTTACCATTTGTATAAAAGCTACAAAAATCCACATTTCACTGTTATATTCACATTCTCCCACGTGCTTTAAATAAGTCTGACTAACAAATATAAAAACTAATATAAATGTTCAAAACACAGTATAATATACTCCAAAAAAGAAAATACTTTAACCAAAACTTCCAAAAAATGACTGTAATAAATTGATAAATACATATTGCATTAGTACATATAAAAAATGTTCCTCAGATTATTAGGCTATTTATTCTGTGGTCCTGAATTGCCCCTCCGCTGCTTGATAATCTCTAGGTACCGGTATAGCATTGGTATACGACTATTAAAGCAGATTACACGTGTATTATAATAAATGCCACTAGAGCAATGCCGTTCCTTTAGTTCGCTCCGAATGCGTTAACGGCACAACGCCCTCGTGGTCTCGCAGCTGCTGACGGACGTCAACTTCGGCGTGGGGGTGATCCGCGCGGCGCGCGGCCACGCGCGGCTCGGGGCGCCGGTCTTCATGTACGAGTTCGGCTTCCGCGGCCGCCTCAACTTCCTGGGCCAGGTGCTGGGCGCCAAGGTGCAGGGCGTGTGCCACGCCGACGAGCTGGGCTACCAGTTCGCCATCCCGGGCCTCAGCGAGCCGGACGAGGGCAGCGCGGAGGCCGTCGTGCGCCGCCGCATGGGCCGCCTGTGGACGCAGTTCGCCCTGTGCGGGTGCGTTCGCCTCTCGCTGTGCAAACTCTCCAGCGCGACCCACGCAGATCTCTTCAAGTGGGCGGCCTGTACTTCGATTAAAACGTGAAGTCCGCTGATACTTCGTCTGCTGGGGACGGTGTCATCCAATCGGAAGCTTCACTGTTACTATAGTGGCGTCATTGTAGTGATGTAGTGATGTGGAGTCTCGCCACGTAAAATAAGGCAAATTCAATTCAATTCAATTCAATGTTTAAGCTTATGATCGGACGACAGCGTCAAGGCAAAGTGTCAGCGAACTTAATTTTTTAATCGATTTATACTTGGTGTGCTTCGAGCCGCTTCTCTGCGGACGACCAGTGTGACTGTCGAGTCAGCCCATCGGCAGGAGATGAGAGGGGAGGGTAGTTGGTGCTGGGACTGCTGAAAGAGGAGTAAAGAAGGCGTAAAGTAAGAAAGAAATTCCAACGAATCTTGTCTAGGAAAAGGGTAGTGGCTTGCGGGCGAGTACAGCAGGGGTCTGTGGGCAGTTTGGCAACTGTGCAGTTCTGCAGAGTCTCCTTTGAACTCCGAGTCCCCGAGTTAAAATCCTTCTCAATTTGTAGTAGTTAAAGTGGATTCGTACATTTTCCCAGCCTCTAATTTTACCATTTCACTTTTATTATTCATACCACATGTCCATGATCACCTCGTCAATACCATTCAATAGTTTCCATGTGTGGTCACAAGACTAAAGCACTGGGATGATAATAAAGATTCGACAGCAACGGTAGACTAAATTGGTAAACTAAAAAATAAATATTAGGCTGGTTTATATGAATTTCCGGATTGTTTGTTAAAGACTTGTGCGCCCGCCATTATACACCCGTTAACTCACATATTTCGTGTATCCTTATGCACAGGAATTTTCCATATATTTTTAAAATAGCTATAATTACGCGTTTTTCAGAAAAGGACACAAAAATGAAATTCAAAATTATCGGCCAATTTCTCTTTTGTTGATTTTTCAAAAATATTAGAGAGTTTTTACGTACGAATGGAAACCTTTCTTAGTAAATACGACGCGGTTTCAAATTGCCAGCATGGGTTTCAAGAATCCATATTTTCCAGCTATATTTTCTTTTCTTAAAGATGTCGCCTCATCCACGGATCAAAACGAATCATCAATTGGAATATTTTTAGATATTTAAAAAGCTTTTGACTTCATTAATCATAACATATTACTTTCAAAATTACATTCGTATAGAATTAGTGGTATTGCTCTAGATTGATTACGTTCGTACCTTAAACAACGATCTCAGGGAGTAGAAATACTTTACTGGAATAATGGACCGTTATGTACACACCTTTCCAATCATTTGCCAATTGCATGTGGAGTCCCGCAGGGATTGATTTTAGGCCCTATTATCTTCTTACTATATGTAAACGATATTCTCTCGACGATTAGAAACGGAAGAACAGTTATTTTTGCGGACAATACGAATATTCTTTGCGATAAAGAAACCGTAAATTGTACAATATCAATATTTCAAATTGGTTCCGTAATAACAAATTAATAGTAAATGAAAATAAAACCACTTCAATGCAGTTTTGCACAAATAAACAGCAGTATACTCCATTGAAAATGAATGGTGTGCCATTGACAGATGTTACGGTAAAAACATTTTTAGGCCTTTCAATTCAAACCATAAATGGAACGTCCATATAAATGAATTGAACACTGAATTAGGTTTTTCATGCTATTCTTTCAGAATTCTTTCAAATCTGGTCAGCCTCTACACTGCTCGTTGTGTATATTTCGCGAATGTTTATTCCTGCCTGAGATATGGCATAATATTCTGGGGAAATACATCTTATAGCTCCCAGACTTTTACAAAAAAGAATTGTACGAATAATAACCAAATCCCACCCACGTGATTCTCGTAAGCCTCTCTTTATTAGTCTAGGTATCGTACCATTACCTTGACTCTTGATATATGAATCAGTGGTGTTTGTCAAAAATGACTTACTTAAGGGCGAGAATATATTTCAGCAATCGCTGATGTCTATAACTACAACACTCAACGTAGTAATAATATTTATCAGGTAGCAGTATCAACAGTTCACTACAAAAAATTCACATACAATACATGTACATTATATTAAAACACCTTACCAGATGACATTAAACTATTAAATTTGATACAAAAGTTTTTAAGTCTCAAGTAAAATATTTTCTGTTGCACAACTTTTTCTTTACAATTAGAGACTATACAAATCATCCAAAAGGAAAGTAATATTAATTTTAACAACGAGATTTAGTGTATTATTTACCATTTGGATTATATAATTGTAAAGAACCTGTCACAAGTATTGTACTTCAGCTTCTGGGTCAATGACCTGTATATCGATGAGGTTTTCATCCAGTTTCCCTGATTCTTGAGCATATGCTTAGATGGCCCCTTGTTTTGCTTCTGCACATAAATTCAACTTCAAATTAACTTCTCTCCATAGCACATCACCCACAGTTTTAAACTGCTTTGGCGTAAAGTAAAAGCATGACATTGTACAACCGTAAAACTTGTCACGTTGCAATATCATCTTCAAAGCAAACTGTCCACAATTCACTGTCACGCCGCCACTTTTTTCTTCGCAGAGAGAAGAAGAGCTAATCACCTAATGGCTGTTGCAAACGCCCCCGAGCTCAATCCCTATCGATACATGTGAAATTTTGACGGTTTTCTCAGCAGTTTTTCTACGGACTTTTCTGTTTCCCTTGCTTCTCATTCCACCGCTTTTCCGCCATCATGCATTTCCTCCTCATTATCCATTGCATCTACTCATTAGAATTAAGTTACCTCTTGGGATCATCAATGATCTCGTCAGGCTCCCTAAACACCAAAATGGAAAACAAATCTTCGCGTAGCAATCGTCCGGTCTGCAAGAACCCGACCGGATCTCTCACCTGTTGTCACCCGGCTGCGTACAGCAGAAGATGCGACGTGCGAGCGCGGAGAAGCAACGGACCGATGACGTAGTGCCGAGAGGGAAAATGTCCGATGGCCGGACAAAAAGTGGGGCTCTTGTTAATGTGGGAAATTTTCTGTCTGAAGGAAATTTGGTGAACGCCTATACTCCTGGTTTTCATTTGTATTCAATTTGCCTCGAAGAACGCTACCATGTACCAGTAATCTTTATACAGCTCGTGGAACTCATTACAGTGAAAGAAAATTTGTCGAACAGCTTGCGAATACTATTATTTTAGGCAAATGATGGAGCTATTTCGTCGAATAGCCTGCACCCGGGTTTGTTGCAAGGCACAAAAAATAGAGAATAGTTAAATATGATGAGTGATGATCAGGTTTGCGCTAAACCACTTGCTATCAGTAAAACGACTAATATTGTTGCATGATACGAACCTAGCCGATGCTTTAAATAACAATTCTGTTCGCGAAACTATTTGAATCGGTGGAAACAAAATGGTTCAATGTCACGTTTTGGCGGTTTTGAGTTAACGGTGGGAAACTATTCTTAAAATAAAAATTCAACTTTATGTGCATAAAAGTACGTTGTCTCTGACGCCTTTAGTTTTCTTTAACTATTAATGTTAGGAAGAAATGAACGATGTCCGTAACATTGGATCTTTTTGCTTGCTCTTGAGTATTTGAAGCTTCTGGACATCAAACGTTTTTCTGACAGTGATTTCTATCAGCATTTCATTCATCATCTTTCGTTTGTCACTTTCGTTGATTACAATAATCCACACTCGTAATCTTTTGTTTCAGAAATCCCACACCTAAGCAGGACGATGTGATAACAACAACTTGGCTTCCGTACTCCGAATCGTCTCCTAATTACCTGTTCATTGGTGAAGATCTCAAACAAGAAACTGGACTTTGGAAAGAAAGGGTGCAGTTTTGGACAGATATATACAAGATGTGAAATTTTCGAGCGCAAATTCTTCAAATCTTTCTTGAGAATAATATTGGCGCAGTTTAAAGTGTACTTTATACACGAAATATTGGTAATTAAAATGTTTTGAAGAAAATAGAAACATTTTCTTGAATAAATATTTTAAATTATCTAGCAATCAAGAGTTTTATATTTTGTGTAATACCTGTTGTTTCTCTTTGCCGGTCAGAATTCCGAAATTACCTCATATCTGCTCATTTAGAGATACGATTGCAGTTTGTGATTTGTCCCATAAAATTACAATATGTAGGATATTTTAAACACTGTAACATGGTCAAAACTATCTGTTCAAAACTCTTCACTCTTCTTGTGAACACTTTTCCTGTTTTTAAAAATGCTGAGAATATTTTCTAGCTCAAAAACTTGTGTTATAAAATATGAAATCACAAGTAGGAACCCGTTTCATTGGTACTAATAATCTATTTAAATATGCAATAAAATCGTCAAAAATATCATCTAAAAATATGTCCTATAAAGAATCCGTATACAACCCATCATATCACTCTCATAAGTTTCAGGCACATATTCACCCTACACTTTACTATTACTATACTACCTATCAATGAATGTTCAAAGAGCAGTATTCGTTTCAAAACTGAAATATCTGCTTCTAAAAATGTATCCCTTAGGTTCAGCAATCGTGCTAAACTATTTCCGAACCTGTATTCTATTTTAAATAACTGAAATGTTGAGTTTTTCCATCTGTTAATTTTGACTCTCCACCGCATGCACTCACATGCCCTTTGAATTCATATTTTCCACTTAAGCTACACTTTTTACGTGATTTGAATAAGCACAATTTAGGAAACAATCCAATCGCCACGACTGTAACATTACATCACTGTAAGACGCTGATTTTGACTTCTGGAGTACTTGGATACTTTCATATTTTTAATAAGTGTTAAGTAATTGTTACATTTGATTTCATTAATTGTGAATTTAATAAAAAAATTATAATTAATTTGTTCTATTCAATTAAAAATAATTTCTATTAGCACTTCCATTACGAGAACATCATACTACACCCCTTTGCATCCCGAAAAGGAAAGTTTCTTCGTTTTCACAACCTGTTTCGTTCATATCTGTTGGGAAACCCTTCCATGAATTGTGACAGTTCATGTCGTATGTGTGAGTTCATTACAGCCTCGATTCTCAAGTAGTTGAAAACATACTTTCTTCTTAACGGCTATAAAATGCATTTTCAAGTTTTAAGTAAATGAAACAAGTCATCCAATTTACAGAAAAAGGGATACTGGATGAAAACGATATTGATATTGTATGTGGAAATACAGTAATACGACTGAAATACTCGGCATTTCCGTTTCGTACAATGCGCAAGTAAACAGAATCTATACTAATTTCAAAGTACCAGTCCGCTTTTCTACATCCCAAAAAACATTCACCATGTTTATAAAGTTCATTTCAAACGGCGTTGGTGTGTAACCCCAAGCTATATCATTTCACGATCGCTGAGGAATCTGTTTTATTTCAAAATGTCCCGAATGGGAACAGTCGGTATCTCCTCTTTCAATTTCAAGTCTATGTGTGCTGTATGTGACAGCCTTCTATTTGTTAGCACGAATTTACAATGAAATGTTCAATATACATGAAAAACGTGCGTGGAATCTGCTTCAGTGAAATTTTAAAAAAACATTTCAAGTCAATAAATGTTTCTCAATTGGCCTTTATTCATAGAAAAAGATGGAGGCCAAGACGAAATGGAATGGGGTGTGTGAGGTGATCGATGGTGGAGGACGGGTGACGCAAGGAGCAGGGCGGCGATGAACCTGACATCGCTGCGGAGCGGAACGCGAGTATTTTTTGAGAAATCAGTGCCTTTTATCCCGTCTTCCAACGACCCCGCATTGTTTGTAACAGAGGTCCCCAGACGGGCACTCTTCCGAGAAATTGGCGTCCCGTGTTTCATAACTTACATGACTTCACAAAGCCTTGTTAAGCAATTCGGGTAACAATACCGATTAATTACACAGAATTAATTAAACGAATAATTACATAAACAAAGCCCAGAGTAGAACAACTAATTAGCATATAATGCTCAAGCAAGCGTATTATGCTACTAAACATTCAGCAGCACTGCAAGTCTGAAGTAATATCATGGACGAATACTGGTTTACATAAATAGATGGCTTTTAGGTGCCAAAACGAACTTTGCTATCAAAGATATTTCGATGTACTTGAAAAGCGCTGCTACGTCAAGGTATCCTGAAGCTTCGAATAAAAAGGAAATGAGGGCTAAGTAATTCGCATTATATCTCTCTCTCTGTCCGTCACTCGCTCTCTCTCTCTCTCTCTCTGTCCGTCACCCGCTCTCTCTCTCTGTCCGTCACCCGCTCTCTCTCTCTGTCCGTCAGTCAGACTCTCTCTCTGTCAGTCAGACTCTCTCTCTCTGTCAGCTCAGACTCTCCCTGTCAGTCACTCTCTCTCTCTGTCAGTCAGACTCTCTCTCTCCTGTCAGTCAGACTCTCTCTCTCTCTGTCAGTCAGACCTCTCTCTCCCTGTCAGTCAGACTCTCTCTCTCTCTAGTCAGTCAGAGACTCTCTCTCTGTCGGGAGTCAGACTCTCTCTCTGTCAGTCGGCTCTCTGCTCTGTGCGTGCGAGGGACTCTCTCTCTGTCAGTCAGACTCTCTCTCTGTCAGTCAGACTGCTCTCTCTGTCGTCAGACCTCTCTCGTGGCTGTCGTCAGACTCTGCTGTCGGTGTGCTGTTCGTGCGAAGCGTCTCTCTCGTCTGTCCAGTCTGAGACTCTCCTCGTTGTCTGATGTGTTCGTGTGGGACTCTATCTCTCTGTCAGTCAGACTCGTCTCTCTCCAGTCAGACTCTCTCTCGCTGTCTAACTCTCTCTTT